CGGACCACGTGTCAGGGGCGGAAAAATGGCCGCGGACCACGTGTCAGGGCGGAAAAATGAATGTACCCCGAGGCGGAGTTCACACATCGAGGTAAATTTTTGCGGCCGGAGCTGGTTGTAACCCGAAAAGTTCGTTAGTAGAGGTGTTCGTATCCCGAGGTACCACTGTATAGGAGCCTTAAAAGATATGCTGTTGTTTAATGCTGTCATTTATTTCCATTCTAAAATACTTGGGAAAAAGTCTTATCCTTATTCAGGATTTCAGCTCAGAGTCACTTCGATGTGAGATGGGCAGCTATATAAATATGATTGATAAATAAATGATTTATAAAGTATATAGACGTGATACAAATGGTTATGGTACACATAGTCATCCCGTACAAATCTCAACTGAGCAAAAATGACACAATGTGCATCATCTGCTGGTTGGAGAAGATGTCAAGATGACAACGGACCTTGGAGAAAGCTGAACTGTTTAATTCCTGTTCTGTATCCATCACAGGGAAAAGGGTTTATACAGATTTGTTCTTAGTAATGCCTAAGGGTAGGTCAAGAACCAATGGGTGGAAGCTTTACAGAGAGAGAGAGACAAAATGAAAATGCATAATTTTATGGCCATGAGAGCCATTACGCAGTGGAATGGTCACGGATGCGCCATCACCGGAGGTTTACAAGCAGAGGTTGGACAACTGATTGGGATGGTCTAAGGAGTCCTGCCCTGGGCATGGAGTTAGCCTAGAGACCTTCAAGATCCCTATTATATTATGATGTCATGACACTAACCTTGGTCTTTCATACTTGCATCCTGATGACACAAGTATGCCAGGCCTGTGGTTTATATCACAACATTGTGAAGCACAATGCATATTTCATTATTTGCACCCTCTGGACCCCCCCTCCCAAAGATGCCTATGAGTATTGGATATGGGAAACAAGCAGTTCTCATGAATAGATATGGAAGCAGCCTTTTGTTCTTTATTTTTTTAAAAGAAAAAATACAGTCGTGTGAAAAAGAAAGTACACCCTCTTTGAGTTCTCTGGTTTTATGTATCAGGACATAATAAAAATCATCTAGTCCTTAGCAGTTCTCAAAAGTAGGTAAATATAACCTCAGATGAACAACACCACATGACATACTACACCATGTCATCATTTATTTTACAAAAAGAAAGCCAAAATGAAGCCATGTGTGAAAAACTAAGTACGCCCTTACTGCTTCCATAGGTATGAAGAGGCTAAGTAGCAGCCAGGTGCTGCTATCAAATGCCCTTGATCAGTTGATCATCAGCAAGTGTGACTACCTCTATAAAAGCCGAAATTTTAGGAGTTTGCTGGTCTTGAGCATTGAGGTGTGTGTTAACACAATGCCAAAGAATAAAGAT